AGACGATTCGTAAAAGTTTCGAGTCCATTCGGACTGGGTCAGTGGGACAAACGAGCATGTAGAACCGAGAGCGGACGCTCTCTTTAAAAAGGGGCGGCGATGGGAGTTCAGGTGACCGCTATCCAACTCTATCTCACTGGTGTGGCCGCGAAAAAGGGTAGCAACTCAGGCAACCAGCAGCGACTGACCAGTCCCTCGGTTGACGTGGGAGCCCAACAGGGGAATTGACCCAAGTTGGACAAAGGTCACGCACGCTCGCCAGAGGCCAACTTCAGGAGATCAAATGTAGTCCGCAGCGAACTTGTACGTCAAAAATCATTCATTCAACACGGCTATAATACGAGGCAGGCGACAAGACTGACTAAATCAAGACCATGAGATGCAGCAACTACGATACTTTGATTAAAGCGAAAAGGGTTTTGAAACGTCGGTACAAATATAATTCGCTTCACGAACTCGCTCCCTCTTCTTCATTGGTACATGACGAACGCACTAAGATATCTAGTCCTCGAATCGTTACGCACGTACTTAGGGTTGAATATACTGCTGACTATCAGTCGGCTGCTTGTAAATATTACGTGACTAACTTGCGCTAACTGATAAATTTCAGCTCAAACTTTCGGACTGAGCCTGAGAATGTTTGTTTTGGAGGATTTACTCCAATTGCGCGCAACAGTTTCGTCGAAATGTAGCCACGATGGCACATAAACTGGAGTTTGTATACCAGGAAATAAAAACTTCATCTGAGGCCAAACTCATAAGCCGAACCCCCACACAGCTGCGTCATGCAGTAGTGTCAGCTTGGCAAAACACGTCTGCCTGTACTTTTAACTAGTACCCCACACGGTCACTATGGTCATCAATTATTAGCAGCTGTTTAGGCTGCATGGCAGTTCCTCCAGGCACGCAAACCATATGGTAACACGTCCCTTGTCTGGACTACAGGTTTCGCCTGTCACACTCATCAGTAGCCAGGCAGTCCGCAGCGTGTACTGACGGAATTCGCCGATTGGTTGATCAATCTCGCACACTTGATAGTCTGCGCCAGCCCAGATTATGAGCCACGCATATGTACCATCTCATAAGGCTTGCCTTTTGAATCGCAGCCCAGCATGTAGGGAGCAACGACCTCTAATAGGTCAAAGTACCCTCTTGATCCACCTGACCTCAAGACATAATCCTGAATTGTGCAAAATACGAAAGCAAACTTGCAAGTACGCACTG